TCTCGCTACACCCTCAGATTAAACGACAGAAACACCTCTGACAAAGTCACATGCCTTGATTAAGAGACCGGTTGATGCAGTCTATCGTCTATCACACAGCTCCGCAGCTGCTTCTCCTGCAAAACCATAAAGTGACCCACCCACCCACAGTAAGCAGCCATTAAGCAATGCAAAGCACAGCCTCAACAACCTGTCCCCAATGCATTATTCTGTGGCCAAATTCATAAAACAGCATATTTCACTGACGGGGGGCGGGATACAGACCCTCAGTGCTGGTTCTCATACCTCAGAGCTGGAGAAACTCACTACCCTCATTGTTCCAGTTAGAGAAAAAAAAGCATTTCTGGTTTCTGAAGTGTCATACAGTTCCAAGACCCTTTCTGCTACCCTGCCCACTTTTCTGCCTTTTCAAAACACCAGGGACTGAGGATAATAAACCAGAGAAGAAGGGGCTGAGACGGCCCCCATTTAATACAAGCTTCAATTTGGGTACTCATCAAAAGGTGGAAAATGGACAGGAGCGCAAGGGGCAGCTGTTAGGGAGATGGGACCAGCACTGAGGGGTGTAATTCTACTCCAGCTCCTGACACAATCAGGATAGAAGTGCTACCGACTCACAATAGATGTTTCACATGGGGTTTAGTTGATAGTTCACACAAAAAAAATGTGTCAATCTAATGACCTACAGTATGAATGACATTTGGGGGGTGGGGGATTTGTGCACATGTCCAGTCGACAGGGGACGGCCCCCTGTGCCCCGCATCGGCCAGTCCTTCCCTTGGCTCCTGGGGCCCCTTAAGAGCAGCTTCTTGTGACGCCCCTGCGTCTCCCTGTTTGCCTCCCTGCTTATTCAAACATCCAGGAAATGTGGTTCATGGCTGACAATGTCAGGTCCCCTCTGGATCGATCGAATTCTCCTGAAAGGGGAACTGGTGGGCGATCATGAGGGGCGTCCCAGGATTTGCACGCGCGCAGAGAGGTGCCTGAAGGACCTCGAAAACCATGCCCTCTGATCGAGCTCCTGAAGTGCTAACAGGCAGCCGGGGTGTCACCTTCCTGAACACAGGAATCCGGTCAGTCCGCTCCGCCTGCCAGCAGCAGGCCCTCAGCATTGCTAATCTTTAAAACCTCTCTTGTGATGTAACAGGCACTGCACTGATGTTATTAATAGCACTGCACAGGACTGGAAAAAAAAAATCACTTTGCAATATGTAACATTTTTGCAATTAATATTACAATATTTATAAAAGTTAGTTGAAATTTACCTAAAATAAACTATAACCAAATAGAGTTTATTATCTAACAGTAGAGAGTACCGAAGTCTGACTTGTCTGTTTGGTTCTATATGCATGTTCATCTATGCACCATGTTCTTACTACTGTATGCCGCAGAAATTTCCCCCGGCATCAATAAAACGCATCTTAATCTTAAATAAGTTGGTGGCGTTGCCACAAGTGCCAACAGACACAGAGCAGGGTCGACAAATGCCCTGCTTTTGGTCAATATGTTCTCTATGGAACCCAAAATATTTTCATACAGCAGAAAGCAAATGTCTTTTGTTGACCAATTCTTGTTCGTATTTCTTTGTTTTTGTTTCTCAAACGCTACGCTGTCTATGGTCAAGTCAGACGGTAAGGACGAAAACGGTTATGATGAGCTCTGCATGTGCTCTCCGAGCCAATGCAAAAACAGAAAACTTTAGATTGCTTTTTTAGAAACATATTATATCATATTATATATAATGTTGAAAAGGACCCATAATTAAAACTGCAACACTCACTTTGTTTGCTATGGCAAAGTAAAAACGTTATTGTCTTAACTCAGCTGACTACAGCAATGCTTGCGATTTGACAACTGCATATGCATAACATGCGATGATGATATTAATATCACATATTTTGCGGCTCTTGTCCTTAAGCCCAAACACATCCGACCAATGGGTGGCCTGGTAGGAATAATCACTGGGGCTTGAGGGCAGGATCATTAAATAGTGTGGCCAGAGCAGTTGGTGCTTTCCAACCAGTGCGAGTCTGAAATCCAGCTGGGGCTCCTTCTGGCAATGCTTGTCGCATGCTAACGACATTCCCACCCCCCACAAAACGGAGACACCCTGTACAACTGTTCTTCGATGCTCCTCAAGATCGCTCACTAGTTCCCCCTTCAGGAGAATCTGACCGACCCAGAGGGGACCTGACGTTGTCAGCCATGAACCACATCTCCTTGATGGTAAGAATAAACGGGGAAGAAAAACACCAATCAGGTCCTCACTCTGTCAAAGATGGTTTTTAAATGTTCTTCAGATGTTAAATGATCCATCACCTGCCACCATCACCATATTAGCATAACATCTCGCTCCAGCACCATAATACCCCATGTGTGTAACCACTTGCATCCATTTCAGCTGCCTGGCAGCCTGGTCTCAGACATGGAACAGCTAATACTCGCTTCACCGCAAGGCCAGTCACATGACGCGCCCCTACTGATGTGGTACGACCACAGGATTCGCTCACAGCTAAGCTGCTCTCGGGCTGCGCAGGGACCCAGCCGACCTCCAGCTTATCCTGTTTCTGTTACCGCAGCAACACCTGTGAAATTACAACGATTATGATCGCCGGGAAGCGAGAGGCTTAGAAAAATCCAGAGTGGGTGGGATCATTGTGTTCCGTGAATCACTCCCTGGCATGCAACAGAAATCAACAGTAACCAATGAGAAGCTGGTAAAACTGATTGACAGCTGACAAAAGCTCCACCCACCATGACTCCTAAAGCTCAGATTCTTTTCAAACTGTATGTGACCTATATGATGCAGTCACAAGCTACACCTTGCAAGACAGCTAGAAACTAGTGTGTCGCTCAAACCAAGGTACCTAATTATCTCAGCCTCACTAGTATCTCAAGGTCCCTGGGATCGCAGATGGACACCAGCATCCCAAATTCAATGCAGAGCCATGACAGGCAACCATGAGGTCTTCAGTGATGTTCCTGGAAAGTAAGTCACAGCAGGACTGCTGCCGAAGTTTTGCCATCGGATGAAAATAGGAGGATGCTCAAGTAAGTCTGGCTCAGTGGAGATACCCAGGCCAGAGGGCTCAGCACCAGGTCCCCAAAGCATTTGCAAAAATGTCCTCCTGCCAGTGTCTGCCAATAACCGTAAACAGACACAAACAAAAACTATTCTTTTAAAGGAAGTTGAAAGTGCTGGTTGAAGGCGAACACTACAGGCCCAACTCTGAATGGGCCCAAAACCTGCAACTGTCCTGCTCTGAGGATGAGTCAAGGAGGATGTCAGAACAGCCTCTGTACAGTTTGTACACTGCACACACACATAAAATGCAGCATTTCCGTGACTCTTTCAGGAGCCGACTGAATTGGAGAAGCACTTCTTCTGTGAGAGCTCAGCAGCGCTGCCCCCTGAGGAGAGGAAGAGGGGGAATTCAAGACAGCGTTGCGCCAGACGCCCTGGCTTCTGCGTGGCGTTTAATCTTTGCGGCATTATTTAATCACAGCCTTGCTGCCTCCAGTGTGGGAAAAATCAGAGATTTAAGATGGTGAGGAAAGGGAGCACCCCAGACCATCACAGCCCTTCCAGGACCTGTGTCACACAGTGGTCAGCGCCGGTCACCACTGGAGACCACGGGAGCCGTGACGAAACGGCGTCAACCCAGTGCAACCTACAAACAAGGGCAGAGGCTCCCTTTCAACCGCAGGGCCTCAGTCATGCAGACATCCGCAATTAAGAGTTTGTTTTGACTCAATGTTGTTATTGAGAGTGGTTTGCAATGGCAGCTTGATAGCAGCCTTGGTGCAAACTTTTCTGGCCGACATCTACTCCCAAAAAATGATGTCAACCTTTCAAAATACTACAAAATCAATGGTTCTTTTTCCTGGCCGGAAACAAAACAGGATACAACTATAATAAAAATGTCAGAAACCCGTTTTGTGCCCATTTTTTATGCCACTCACACAGACGGGATCAACATCGAAGAAAAAAAATACGGCTTCTAAAATGTCAGAACCATTCTTCTCGTCTCTTCAAAATGTCACCTATGGCTAGGATCTATGCGCATGGGAGACAACAAAACCCAATCTATTTCGGGTTGGACGGTAATTAACTGCTGCAATGTGAGACGGGGGCTCTCCAAAGAGACCAATTTCACCTTTATTTTCCACCAGGCCCCAAAATGTCTCCCCTCCCAAACTGATAAAACCAAAAGCCGGGTTGGTCTACTATTATTTAGCTGCCAGCCTGTCTTGCTAAGGACAGGGGATGCGATATCTTCACAAAACTTTAATAACCACGGTAAATAAACACGCAAACAGGAGCGTAGTCACAGAAAACACTCCTTAGTGTAACCACACGTCTTCGTTGCAGATTCGATCAGCGTTTAAAAATGTAGAAACAATCCCCATTTCCAGCCTGATGGACGAGAATACAAAAACTGCATAGTTTATAACCTGAAAGAGAAAACCGACCGGCTCGCCAAGAAAAGGGAGTATTTATCGGGCCAAGGGAGATGTTTCAGTCTAAGTATACGGTAGTGTAGCCGTGCTTAGTAACAAAAACTCTTACAGTGCCTGGACTTTTCAAATACAATAAAGGGATGCGGTCAATGGCCGTTATGGACATTATGCCATTAATTGCACAAGACAACGAACCTGGAGGCCGAATAACATGCGACGGGCGGCGGGTTTCTTTTTTTTTTTTTTATTTGACAACATTTGTTTGTCATTCTTATACTTTGCACTAAACATAATACACAGGGAGGACTGGATTACCTGCAAGAACACCGAGAGAGTGCTAAAAAAAAACACATTTTTAAAGTGTAGAGACGCGTGCGGTATGAACGCGGCCGGTCCGGCTCGTCGCCGTCACTACGCGACCCCGCCAGGGCCGGCAGCCCATAATAATAAGTGCCGAGCACTCGGCCGTCGCCGCGGACGGGCAGCGACCTCATGTCCGCTGTATTCCGAACGGTTTCGCCCGGTATGCGCTCACTCACCACGACGAGTAGCTCTGTTCCGCCATGTCGCCGTGCAGCTGGGCTTCCACACGGCCTCGGCGCTGTGCTCCGGCTCCCCCCGCTTCCCGGACGGCGGAGGGGAAACTCCGGTTCGGTGTGAGGCGTCGGCTACTCAGCGGGCGCCGTTCGACGGCGACATGGCAGTTTGGTGGCTCGCCCCGGCTCACGGGCGTCGCATAGGCGGCCTTGCGTGCGCCGGAGGAATGGCAGCGATGTCCGGTTAGCTAGCCAGCTAATGTAACAAAGCGCTCCAGCGGGGCGCAGAGAAACTCAAAAATTCCTCCGATTCTGGGGGTGTCTTGCGGTACCAATGTCCTCCGTGCTGCCACCGGGTCTCGACGGCACCTAATATCGTTCTATATCCATAATTATCCTCCTTTTCTCTGCCCTTGTCTAAGCAGCTCTCGATGAACCTCTCCTCGGTTATAATAGAAACCACGCAGTTAGCTTTGTTTTCAATGGCCATGAGCACGGGAGCGCGCACCCCCCCTGTGCCTAGACGCGTGCACGCGGAAACGCGCACGCTGCCGAGCGTGTCCCTGTCAGCACGCTGAATTAAATAGCATTATTTATATATTGCGGTGTTCACTTTCTATATTTACGTTTTTAATCACTTGAGGGGGCAGTAATAATTACGTAATTTACGTAATTTCTGCCATGTAAATTTGCAAATGTGTGGTTACACAAGATAACGTGATGTTGCCATCTGAAAAGAACAGGAGCAAACGTGATAAACAATCCAAAGTACATGTCTTAGAGATTTAAATTGTTAATTGAATATGCTGGTGGTGCTTTTATCTAGAAGAATGCCATGGAAAAGAAGGCCCACACAAGAGTTAGTGGGTCTCTGGCAGTACCAGCCAGGATTACAATAATCCACAGGGATCTATTGTTATTGCAGATGATAAGCAATCTGTTTAAGGGCAGCAGGGTCATGGATTAAAGGTAAAAGGCTTCCCTCGGAGAGTGATAAATGTCAGCGAATCACAGTCTTGCTATAATCCACTTTCTTATGTCTTCACCAATCAGGACCAAGCGGGTGGATGCTGTCAGCGTGGGGATTTGGGTTCCTCTTTGTGTGTTATGCTGATTGGTCATGGTCACTTGGAGTTAACTCAGGAGACAGGCGAATCAGTGCCAGTTGGTGCAGACCGAGTGAAAGACCCATCGCTTAACAATTTACAAAGCATGCTTAAACACATGCTAATTGGGCCTTAATAAATTGAATGTCACCCTTGTGTATATCAAATATAGGTCACCCCCTTACCAGAAGGGGCTGAGGGCATCAGCTCCCCCTATTAGAAATCCCAGCGATTTGTGATGGTATGAGTGAAGCCTTGTGTTTTCAGCATGCTTTGACCACTGTCTGTCAGTAGGTGGCTGTAGTGAGTCCATTGTGTAAGCACAGCAGCTGTAGCCTGAGTTAGAACTGAAATTCAGTAAGACAGGAACCACTGCAACACAGTAACCAATGGGAAGTTGGTGAAACCACCGTGAGCTCTCAGATAAGATGTGCTTTTGTGTAAAGCATTGTTCGTTTTTTGGTTTAAAGTTTAGCTTTTCTATAAAGAACACTGGCAATATTTTAAAACAGAAGGCTGATTCTTAAAGGTTGGAGGCCTTAAAACCCAAGGGAGATGGATGGATTATCCTTGTGCTGTCAGTCACACATAAGTTTAACTAAATTACTATTGGCTGCTTTGCTCTTGATTGGATTGAATGAGCCAGTGATTGACTGTACATGGTTGTTCCACCCTCCACCTGATTCGTATCTTAGCCATTACAAGGCTAGCCTTTGTGAGGCTGAGTTTTGCTGTTGGGTTGAATTACCATATTATCATAACTTGTGACTGATGGTGGTCAGACAGTGTGAGATAAAAACAGTATTATTACATGGCTGGAGTTAGAAATACTATGAAGTAAATATTGTTTTTAGATTGGAAAAAGCCTTATGGGTGCTCAGGGCTTTATTGTGTGCATTGCCATTTCCTGTTTTGGTTTCCTGTCTGCTGATTACCCCCCCCCCCCCCCCCCTCCAGAAAAACCCCTCACAGACTCTGTCGGAATTCCTTCACGAATGCTCTTTGTTGTATCATTGCCTGTCCGGGTATTCTTACACTCACAGACAGTTTCTGCTACAGGCAGGGAAATGTCTGCAGTCCTCTCTCTCAGGCATGGGGGGCAGGGAACAGTTTTTTTCTAGTCGTTTTATAGAAAACCTTGTTCCTCCTGCCATGACCATGTCCCTTATCCCTTATCTAGGGCAGGCACCCCCAAAATAAAATAGACCAGAACTAGAGACTCTCCCCCAGGGCTGGACTGGCCATCTGGCTGGCAGAGGGATATGGGGGACGGGAAAAATAATTGTGGGGGACCCCCTGGTAGGCAAAATTAATCTTTAGGCTAAAATTATCACAGGGAACCCCTCCCTGGCTCGACAAAATGCATCGCTGGGGACCCCACCCCAGTTGGCAAAATTAATTGTGAGGAGCCCCCCCCCCCCCCGTGGAGAACCCCATAGACTAAGGCTGATTTGAGTCCCAGTCCAGCCCTACAATAATATGTTTTTCTCTGCTGGGGAGGGGGCCATCTGATTATTTTTTGCTCTGACCGGTCCCTCTGTAGTATTTCCATAAGCACCTGCTATGACTATTCTACACTCCCCCAGGGGGTCATGACCCCCCAGGTAGAAAATCAGTTCTAGGGAGTGAACGTTTTGTCCATCAAACGTGTCTTCACTTGCAGTGGTTTGGCTCAAAAAGTCCAGGAAAAGTTGAGCTATTCATGTCATTTTAATTGAAACCAGCCTGTAGTTGTACCCGGGTACTGTGCTGTGGAGATGAGCCCAGCTTTCCACCATTTTGGTTAGTATAATTTAATCTGTCTGATGATGCTTTAACATGTAGGGACCAAACAGGCTATTCTGCATTACTTTTACTACAAGGGTAGAGACATGCTAATCAAGCTATCAGTAATTTGGCTTGTTTACATATTACATGCCTTGTGTTTTTCTTTGCACCTCTTAGGGAGTTGCTAACTGTTCTTGTCTTGTACATTGACAACAAAGAATTGAATCTTGGATCTTGTAGAAGATAAAGAGCTGCATCACTTGACCAAAGCAGAGAGGAACACCTCTTCCAGAAACAAAAGAATTTAGTAGAAAGGTAGCCATAAAAACTGTAAAAATGAGTACCGGTATTTGTACTTGTACAGTACTGAAGGGTATCCGTTTTCTGTTTTTATTATTTTAACTGAGTATATGTGACAGTTTTCCACGTTGTTTTGGGATTTTCTGGGAATTGATGGTCCACGGGGTGACATGAGCATTTTGCAGGAAACACACTCTAGCTGTCAGTGGCCAGCAGTGATTCGCTTTCACAACCCAACAGCCAAAACTTTCTTCTCCATGCCACCAGAACCCCCTGGTGATTGTGGTATCTGGGATGCTCTGGCCTTCTTGACATCTCTCCAATCGTAGGGTCACCGTACAACCAGGTTTCCTCAGATACGTCCTCTTTTTGGACCCCTGTCCGGGCATCCGGGCGGGTTTCAAAAACCAGCGGTCTGTCCGGGTTTTAGCGCTGCAACCCGCATGACCCTGTGTTGCACGTTACAGTGCAGTACCAAGTGAAGGAAAGGGCAGCAATTTTCAACATACGGCAGCCACTCAGTATCATTGCACGGCGTTCGCAAGGCTTGTGTACACATTTACTTTAAAAATTAAACGATATGCACATCCCTACGTGTCACTCTGCTCACGAATGACATCAGCTTCTGGAAACCGTTGACACTTCGACACTTTGTTTTTATTTTTGTGTGAACAGTGAATCTTGAGCCCGATGTCTGCCAGCTGTAGTAAAAAGCTGGAGTCCTGGTATACTCCTTGGCATACCCATTTGACTGTGAGCCAGCACCCTGGCACTCCCTGCGGGCAGAGGCTGGTTTTCCGGAATGCACTGCGTTGTGTTAGTGTACTCAAACTTGGCTCAGTCGCCTTGTATTGTGCCCAAGCAGGACTGCTTACCCTCCCCCCCCCATTCGCTCACTGCTCTGCGCTCACGTTGCACTTAATGACACTGCCCTAAGGATGCTTTCGTCATCACCGGGCGACTATTTTGTGTTCTAGAAAACAAAGGAAGGAAAGTGCTATCGCACAATATAATGGAATTCATGATTTATGTCCTTATTTTGCGGCCTATTTGGAGCCATTTTGGGCTTGATGACAAACATACACTAAATGGACAGAAGTATTGGGACACCTGGCCATTACACCTACAGGAACTTTAATGACACCCCATTCTAAATCCATAGTCATCGTGTATGGTGTCTGTGGGAATCTTTGCCCATTTATCCGGAAGAGCACTTGTGAGGTCAGGCACTGATGTTAGACGTGCAGTCCTCACCTGGAATCTCCATACTAGTTCATCCCAAAGGTGTTTAATGAGGTTGAGGTGAAGGCACTGGTTGGGCCAGTCAAGTTCACCAGACACACCCAACCATGCCTTTATGGACCTTACTTTTTGCACTGGGGCACAGTCATGCTGGAACAGAAAAGGGCCTTCCCCAAACTGTTCCCACAAAGCTGGAAGTATAGAATTGTTCGAAATATCTTGGTATGCTGAAGCATTAAGAGTTCCCTTCACTGGGACTAAGGGGCCTCGCCCAACTCTTGAAAAACAGCCCCATACCATTATCCCTCCTCCACCAAACTTCACAGTTGGCACAATGCGGTCAGGCAGGTAACATTCTCCTGGCATCCGCCAAACCCAGACTCACCCATCAGGCTGCCAGACAGAAGCGTGATTCATCACTCCACAGAGCACGTTTCCACTGCTCCGGAGCCCAGTGGTGGCGTGTTTTACACCACGCCTGGCATCGTGTTTAGTGACGTGAGGCCTGCATGCAGCTGCTCGGCCATGGAAGCCCATTCCATGAAGCTCTCAGCACACAGTTTTTTTCCTGGGGTTAATGCCAGAGGAAGTTTAGAACTTTGTAGTTATTCAGTCAACAGAGCATTAGCGACTTTTACGCTCTATGCGCCTCAGCACACGGTGACCCTACTGTTACTTTACATGGTTTGCCGCTGTGTTGTTCCTAAACACTTCCACTTTGCAATAATACCACTTACATGTCTTTGAAGATTCTCAGTCATCCAGGTCATGGTTATCATATTATCCCTTGGTTATTCCACTTACAGTTGACCATGGAATATCTAGCATGGAAGAAGTTTCACGACCTGACTTATTGCAATCCCATGATAGTACCACGCTTGAGTTCATTGAGCTCTTCAGAACAACCCCATTCTTTCACAAATGCTTGTAAACTTGACCGCATGGCTAGGGGCTTGATTTTATACTGCTGTGGCAGTAGGTCTGAATGACCATATTTGTCCATATTTGTCCATATTTATCTTTAGCGATTTTTATTTACCTGTTCTTCACGTATAAAGATTTTTACCAAATATTTTAACAAATATTACCAAGTATTTGTGTGTGTTCCTGGATACTCTTGTCAGCCCAAATT